TTGAGATTTCCTGGTCATCTTTCATTGCTTCCATTTGCTTTCTCTTCACAGCCATTGGAAACAGTCTAATTCCCTCTTGATTAAGACTCAGTCTCAATTCTTCGAGCATTTTTTTCATCTGAATATTATTGTAGGCCAAGCTTACAGGATGTTGCTCTTCCCAAAGTTTAACGGTTTGAATCTCTTCCTGATTTAGCTCTTTCTAACCCACCAGCTATCACCCTATTAACCATACAAGGTTTGGGCCACATACAGAATGATATATGTTGATACTTATTAATTACTTTATAAGCCTATAAATCATATATAATGGGGTTTGCAGATGTATGCACGTGTGTGTATATGTAAATACATACACAAAAGAAGTGCTGTCCCAGCTTGTCCAAATGAGGATAGAAGTGTAGTCAGTGCTTGAGGTGATACTCAGAAGAATTTTTCTGTGATGCTCTAGAAAATCTGTCATTGAAAATGGTAGTGGTTACTCTGGGTGTGGATAGGTGGCTGTGCCCATCCGTGGAAGAAGTGGCCCCGTCCAGCCTCCCCTCTAAACCACCTGTGCATCCCCATGCGCCCCCCCCTAAGGCAGATCATACCCCCCTCCCCAGGCTTGCCATGAGAGGTGCTCTTCTGAGGTTTTTCTGACCTGTTTCAGTCCAGATAAACCCAATTAAACCATTTCCACTGTCTTGCTTATCCAGCTCACTTAGACTAAAATACAAGAGCCTCCATCAGCAAATCCAAGGGACGGTCGCTCCTGGCAGAGGGGGAGGAATATGTCATGGGCACTTGTTACTTCAGACTGGTAGCACCTGCCGCTTCCCCTGGCCCAGCTGGATCCAGAAGAAGATGCATGGCCGCGGCCAAATTACTGCTACAGCTGCTTTTACACCAGCATCTCCTTTCCAGACTCCTTGCTACAGTACAGCTCAGCAATAAGCATTTATTCTCTCTAGGAGAAAATGTAACAGAAAAAGGCTTAGCCTCTCTCTCTCTTAATCATAAGGGTCTTTTACTAAATGTTACGTTTAACTCCTGAAAGTCTAAAAATCACTTTAAATTAGATCATACTGTCTTGCAGGTTATTAGTCCACAAAGTGACCTAGTGCCTTAGGCTATAACAAATAGTATAGTTACATTTCTGAACTGTCAATGTGCGCAAAGCAATGACGATCCAAGGCGTACTAAAGTGTATCTGTCACAGACATAGTCAGCTCACCTGGGGAGCTACTTCAAAAGCTGTTGTTCAGCTCAGTAGAGGGAAGTCTGCACAGCAGGGAGGAGGCATCTCCCCACACTTTGCAGGACCCCACCTCTGCAGCTCCAGGACTTTGAAGAAGCCAAACAGCCCTGATGAAGACAACATGGGAAGAGTCACCTCAGTCCCTACTCAGCACCATAGCTCGTGTATAAGGCAAAGGTGTGGGAGATGCTGCTTCAAGGGAAAGCTGACCCCTGCCCCCAGTCCCCCATGAATTTTACTTGTTTAAAACCTGTTTAATTTTTTTAAGCAAGTTTTAACAGCAGATAGCAGTTATAAAGCCAGACTTTTTCAGCAAACTACAAGTGACCCTCACAGACACTTTGTAATCAATCTCTACATCTGAAAAAAAAAAAAAAAAAAGTCCATCTGACAATAGGTTCTGGCTTGCTTCTCCAGAAAATCATCTTCAGCAGCTCCCTGCAACAACCCTGGGTACTGGGGATAACCCAGGCACAGAGAGCTGGGAGAAGCACATTTTGTGTGACATGACGTTGTGACATCATGCTGTGTGTCAGACTCTGACAAAGTACAGATAAAGTAAAGACTGTGTGTACTGAGACTCTTTTCAGCCCAACTTATGGTTGAATAGCTTTTCAACTCTGCTGAAAAGGGACAATGTATCTGTTGGCTTACAGGGTAGATCAGACCCTATTAGAAATCAGAATGCAGATCTTTAAGGCACAGGCTGGTTTTGCCTGCATAGTGCAGTGCTCTCTCTAACAGCCCAGCTCTGGTACATCTGAATACATCTGAACCTTGGTCGAGTACAGAAATTGCTGTGTTTCTATGAGATGAATTACGCCAGGGGTCCCCTAAGCCACAAGTGCCACGAGGGTTTCTTACGCCGCTGGTCCACAGAGCTTACGCCAGCATATGCGAGTGCTGACGCTAAAAAAGGCAGGCAGTCACTTTCTCTTGACCTCAGCTGCTCATCTGTCCTTTCGCACCTCCCTTATCCAGGTCACCATGGGGCAAAGCAAATGTTTGTGCCTCAGCACAAGTGGCTGGGGACAGCAGGAAGGCAACAGTGTCTTTTTTGCCAGTAGTGCTGTCAACACATTGGTGTAGCTACAACTTCAGTGTCACCTCTGTCCCTCTGTTTCTGAGTTATGCTGAGCTGAGCCCATGTGTGGCTCAGACTCAGGGTGATAAACGATGGGATGGTTGTACAGCAGCAGGTTACCAGTGCCAAGCTGTGTGCTCAGAGGGGGAGAACAAGTCCAAGCTTCTGAAAATTCACCACAAGTTCATGTAAACTCCCTGTAACCAGAAGGTGTAGGGCCACAGATGATATGCCATGGGGACATAATGTTGACTGTATTTTTTCCTTTGACTTTACAAACAGGTTAGAAAAAATCCTGGGGTTTGTTTTTAAATCATCAACTTTTACAGAGGAAATTCCTGATTTTGTGGAGTGCTAAAGCTTTCTAGATCCCTAGTAGGAGTAAGGCAGAGAAACATGGAAGTTAAAGCAGATTAATATAGCAGAAAATGAGATA